GTTTTTTTTTTTTTTTTTTTCAAATCCGACTAACCCGATCCAATTAACCCGAGACCCGAAAATTCGAACCCGACGAACCCGAAATACTGTTCACGGTCGAAAATGAGTTTTTTTTTTTTGGATCGGTTTGGATTGGGTTTAATATTTTCAACCCGAATCCGTCCGAACCCGGCCCGTGCTCAGGCCTAGTAGGAAGGCAACGGTGTATATAATAAGGTTGAATAAGGTTGCCCTAGCACTATGGTAAGTGGGAAGTATGGAGAAAGTAAGGGAAAGAGATGGAAGTGAAGAATGAGAAGATATTTAGTAAAGAGAATTTAGAGAGTAAATTATAATAATTAAAGTGGAACCTGACAAAATAAACTTTCCCTCTCATGTGGGAAGAAGTGCGTGAAAATTTAAAAAAAAAATGTCACATTTAAAGTTTTATATAAAAATATTAAATATGTTAAAATTTATTTAGTTTTTTATTTAATTTAATATAAATAATCTGAAAATATATTTTTTCACTCAATTTTTTATATAATTCCACTTTATAAAAATTATAAATTCTACTTTATTTCTTATCTATTTTCTATTAAATTAATTATTACTTATTTTCTCTAATACTCTTTTATTCTTCCTCCTCTTTCAAATAAAGCCTAAAAGTTGTATTAGGTAATATTGATAGAGTAATATTAGTTTTATCATTGATATCAGTAATTAATGTGTTTTTTAATATAATTTATTTTATATAATATTAGGGTTCATATTCTTCACAAATAAAAGATGTAAGTTATTATTATTATTTGTGTTAAAATCAGTATTAATATATTAGTGTTTAGTTTATTCATTTTAACTATTTTAATTTGACTTGAAAAAATTGGAATATTTATTTTATTTTTATTTCTTATTTTAAAATCTATTTTAATTTTTTGAATATTTTTCAAGAATCCATGTCGACTCAATTTTGATCTCGTTAAGTCAATTCAAATTGAGCAATTTTTTAATATTAATATTTAATGGGCAGTTGTGATAATCTTAATGAAGAAACTGACGGCTAGAATTTTCCAAAAGTTTGAAGCAATATGCAAAGTGGAAATCAAATCATTCTGCTTGAAAATCAATTGAAAACTAGAAAAATAAAAAATGAGTTTTTCTCGTGCATACTATTTTGCGTACAGAAAAGATGCAAAATATATGGTCCACGCACCTAGGTCAACATATACATACATAAAGACTTATCTCAATGATGATAGATATACAGGCTAGCTTATAGATTCCCTACAAGGAACCGTAGAATCCAGAATACTGTGTGTTTTATTTAATGGACCAAAATGCTTCTAATTACTTTTCAAGTATCACATCCCCTTTAGAGATCCCAGGCAGCAAAGACTTAATACAAGCTGCTTCCTGGATTCAATGTGTGTTTTTTTTGTTTTTTTGAAGATTTAATATGTCGTTAGGATTTACTCAAGGCCATCAATTTTAGAGTCTATTATAAATGTGTAGTTATAAGTCGAAATATATGGGTTATCTCATCGGTAGGAGTAAAGAAAAAAAAAATTCATGAGGAGTGCATTATAAAAAATTAATTTATTTGTAAAAAAAAATTAAACTATTTTTATAAAAGATTAAAAAATAAATGTGTAACGACTCAGTTGGTCACTACACACGGTACAGCACACTGGAAACACCAGACAGATAGAACAGGTATATAAATATAGGATCTAGAATATATAAATATACAAAGTCTCAATCTGACCAGAGTTAGAGTGTACAGAAAGAATACATCATCAACTGCTACACCAAGTAACTCAACAACAAAAGAAAGCAAAACAACCCAAAAGGGTTAGCTCCAAATGCCAGCTACAGCCCAACTACCAGCCACCGACCTATCCCTGCTCTGCTCCCATACATAATATGATCATCGCAGTCCAAACATCATGGAGACAAAAAAGGTTAAGCTAGTGTAAAGAATTCAACATACATATAAAAATATATGAATAGAAACATCTACAGCTATCAACACACCCGCACAGATTATACTACACCACAGCAACTCAGTAATATCAGCACCGCTCAGCGGCTATAACAGCACCACCATAATGGTTAACAGCATCGACATAGCGGCTATAACAGCACCACAATAGTGGCTAACAGCACCGACAAGCGGTTATAACAGCACCACAATAGTGGCTAACAGCACCAACAAGCGGCTATAATAGCATACAGCTCAGCAAAATAAACAGCACAGCAAAATATTTCTCAGCACAGCACAACATATCAACATACAGCTCGATTAAGTAGCATTCAACACAGCTTACTACACACACCTCAGCTCATCATTCTAGAGTACAGTAGAATTATAAAATACAGCAATTAATTTCATCAATTACAGCCAGCTCAGCACAGCATTAACCTCTATTCAGCACAGCATAATTATCAATTTCAGCAGAGTTTAACGAACAAAAGCATATTAATACCACATTTTTCTACGCGCTCGGTGCACCCAAGGTTGCGCCCAGCGCAGCTCAACCCGAGAGCATCAAGGGGCCAACACGCCCAGAGCCAGACTGCTCGCGCTCAGCGAGGCCCGTCACGCGCCTGGCGCAATTGAGAATTGCGCCCAGCGCTTGCCAGGCAGAGACTCCATGGAGCCCCACGCGCCCAGCGTGCCTGAACCCGCGCCCAGCGCGGGGAAGGCAGAGACCTCCCTTAGGTCTCATGCTCAGCGCAATTTGAATTGCGCCCAGCGCCTTCCAGGCAGAGACTCCCAAGGAGTCTCGCGCCTAGCGCGACTAGGGTCGCGCCCAGCGCTGAACCACCACTCAAATATTGCCTGCGCGCTTACCGCAATCCTTTCCCCGCCCGGCGTGGACCAACCAGAGGCTCACCTTCTCAAGCTCGCCCGGCGCACACATCTTTGCGCCCAGCGGGCTTGTCAAAAAGGAGCCCCCAGGTGGTCTCGCGCCCGGCGCGAAGAACCGCGCTCAGCGCGAGACTCGCCAGCAACTTATCCAAGTTCAAAAACTTCACAAATCCTGCAAAATAACCAGAAAATCCAACATGCAATCCGGCCAACAGTTCACATTTTCATCATAGATCAATAAAAATCAATCATTTACCACATGCAACCACAGAACAAGAATTTCCCAAAATTTTCTCAAAAGCCCCAAAAACCCGAAACCCTCAATCTCATCATTTTCAACCAAAAATCATCAAACAGCAACAGCCAAAGAGTTCCTAGAACTCATTTTCATCCGGAAACGGCAAAAGAACCTAGCTTCCCTTACCTCGGTGAAGAATCTGAGCTTCCAGGAAGAGAAAATGGAGAAGAAAGAGCTCGAAAGAGGTGGAGAACGGAGAAGAGATTTCCGGCTTTCCTGCTAGCTTTCAATCACGAGAATCAGCACCTACACACCCAAGAATCCAGAGGATTTGGGACCAAGGCAAACAAGAGAGTGAAATGTGCAAGTGAGTGTTTTGATAGAAAGTGAGTAGGAGAGGGTGAGGGTGAAATGGGAAAAAGGTTAGGGTCTCACAAAATGTGTCTAAAATAATTCGTCTTAATAAATTAGATCACTAATCTAATGGCTTCCCTTAGCTCAAATCGGAAAGAGAATTTAAGCTTTGAGTTTACGGGAAAGAAGAAGAAGAGGAAGAATGGAGACAAGGTTGTGGCTTCGAGCTTCCTCACTCTTCTATTTTCAACAACTTTCAAGAAAATCAATGGAGGAGAAAAGGTACAACACTTGAGTTTCAAAAGAAAGAGTGAATGAGAAAGAAAAGAATAGAATGCAAGAAAAATAGGAAGAGGTCTCACACAAACAAAAATTGGCATAACTCATTTACAACTAGATTTATCACATGTTAATCCATGGAGAAGTTGGTCCAAGGGTTGACTCATTTAAGTTTTTTTTCTCTCTCAAATGTTAATTTATATGATTATACATATATACCATCGACTAAATTTTATACATGTTAGTTAGAAATTACAATAAGTGAGTTACTACGATACTCATACAAATTAGAGTGTTTTGATACAACCAACTTTTTAAATCAATAAAAATAAACTAATGTGTTGATTTACTTTCTTTTCATTTTTTTTCCTCTCCTAAGTGATGGATTCTTGATAAATAGATAATGATAATTTAAGGTAACTTACTCTCTTTTTTTTCTCTCACAAAATATTATCTTAAGTGTTTCAAATTTTTTTGCAGAAATTAAAATAATAGTGAGCAAAATATAATAAGATTATGTTTGTTGAAGTAGAGGGAGATTTTGTAGATTTTCTATTCAACTTGCTCCTCATAAAACCTCTTGAATTTAATATGAAACTTATAAATACAAATAATCATTCCAAAAATTAAATAATCATTCCAAAAATTGATAATTTATATACAAGTGTGAAGAATCTCTTCATAATATAAGATTATCAAAAAATGTTCTTATCCAGCCAAAGTTTATATATATATATATATATGAAAAAGATAAAAATTTTGAAAATCTAACATTCACATATTATATATATAGAAAATAATTTGTTCCAAAACTCTTTAAATTTAGAAGGATATAATAGAATTTATCTTTCAATAATTAGTTTTAATTTAATATTATTTGTTAATATTTTATATCACTCTTATAATGTTATTAGATGTTATAAGTTAATTATGTTTGATGTCTTTTTTTTTATAACAATTTTCTTGTCATATTATTAATATGTAATTTTAAAATAATAGATTATAAAAACATTTTTTTATTAAGTTTAATTATTTTTTTATTTTAAGTGAATAAACTCAATGTTTTTATTAAGTTTAATTATTTTTTATTTTAAGTGAATCAACTCACTAATTTATAATAAGTCAAATCGAGTTATTTTTTATAAGTTTGCCTAAAATTGAGATGAATTGAATTGGATAAATTTTAAATGCAACTAGTGATAAATCTTCATTCGGTAACATGCAAAGGAAAAAAGAGAGAAACGTCTCTGTTTCCGGCATAATTTAAGTACAACTTTTGTGTGTGGTGAATTTGTTCAAGTAGAATATGTTTAAACAGCTCGTTAAGAACTTATATTTAATATATCTTATTTGGTTTCATTTAGTGAGACATTTTAAAATTTTAATTTATTTTCTTAAATTTTATATAAAATAAAATTAATTTGAATTACAATTATAAAAAAATATATATATATATATGTGATCAAAATCTAAACTATATAGGCTAGACTATGGAATCTTTAAATTAAGTCTTACGACATAACTTAAGAAGAGGGGAGTAAGTCATTGTTCTCAATAACATATTCAAAAATATTTTTTTTAGTAGCACACTAATATATAATATATATTGTATTTTTATTACAAAAGCATTATAACATCAAGATTTTATTTGATGAAGAGAAATATGGTAGGAGAGAAATACTGTAGAAGAAAAATTACTGGATCTATTTATTTTAAAATTTAAATAACTCATAAAGTGAACCAGAGCTGATTTGGCAATGATGTACTATAAGGAATTGCTTATAAGCAACTCCCATTAGAGATGCTCTTAAAAATTTAAATTTATAATAAATTTTAATGTTATTAAATTAAAATTGTTTAACAATTAGATTAAATGTATAAATTTTTACAAAATCTAATAATTATTTGATATTTCATTTTATATTTTTAAAATAACATATATACTATAATAATTTTTTTTAGTAAATAGATCCTCCCATAAATAAATAAATAATGTATATATAATTATTTGATATTGTTTTATATTAAAAATTGAAATAGTAATAATAAATAAATAAATAAAACAAATAATATTAATAATAAATTATTCTTTATTTATTATTTATACCGTCAAATAATTTTTATTTTCAATATCTATTTCTTATTTCCATATCTATTCTATTCTCTTATAGTTCCTTCCTCCCTGAACAATGTCGAGAAGGAGCGGAGAATTTCTGAAAATGTTGAAATCGGTTACAAATAGGATTTAAATTGCCAACCTAGCTACCATGATATTAACTATTAACAAGGACGGAGCCAAGGGGGGACCTACGGGTGCCACGGCCCCCCCAACAATTTTAATTTTTTTTTATATACATATATATTACTATATGGCACCCCCTATTTTTAATATAAACTCATATGTATAATTAAATGAATAACCCAAATTTATTTTTTTATTCAACTTTTGGACTTCTGGTACGGCCTGCTATGTGGTATCACTTTGGAATTTATTCTCGGCCCCCCAGTATTGAAATCCTGGCTCCGTCCCTGACTATAAAGGTCATCAATTATATGAAACAACACGTGAATTTGACAATGGAGACTATTCAATTACATTTACATCAAGGTTATGGGAAGAAATTAGGAAACACCTTAATGATGGATTGGTAGGTGAACTTACAAAAAAGAGGAAGAGGACCCTATTAAACTTCTTGATGAACAGTCCTATAAATACAGTTTTTTTTTTCCTTACAGACTATTAATGCATCTTATACAACGTCAAATCCAAAAACAATTAATTCGTATGAAAAAATTTATATATAAAATAGTATTTTAATGTATAGTATATAATACATTTGGTTCATGGATAAAAGAAATAGTTTTCATAATTAAAATTTATAATAAATAAATATTTTGAATGTATAAATTGTATTGTTATAATTAAAATTTAAAATAAAATATATAGATAAAGTTGAAATTTATAATAAATTATTTAAATTATGATATAAAATAATTTTTAAATATTAAAAATTTATTTTAAGATAAATATTTAAATTCAATTTAGATTAGAAATAAAAGAGAATAAAGCGAAAAGGAAAAACAAAATATACACATAAAAATAAAAGAGATCTTTTTTATAAAATTTTAAAAAAATTGTTAGAGTAATATATATAAAATGTACATCCTAAAGATAATATAAAGGATAAAATATTAAGAATATATAATAAAAGAGTAAAGGTCTCGCAATTACACGTATTTTAATTTATATAATATATGATTAGATTTATAGAGACAACAGTCATATTATAATTCAGGGTGAGTAGGAAACAAATTGAAACAAATCTATCTCTATAATAATTCTATTATGATTAAATTATTTATTTAATTCAAACTCAAAATCTATGAAGAAGACTATGTCAACACAACATTTTAGCATATTACATCAAGATTATTTATATTATTTATAGATAAATCGTAGGGGAAAAAAGAAATATAAATTTCAAATTAAGGCATTTTTACAATGTACATTTTAAAAACAAATAATATCATTATAAATATAATATTATGTTATATAAAATATTATCTATTAAATTAATAATACATCAAAAGATTATAATTATTTTTATTTGGTACATAAAAGATTATATTTTTTTTAAAATAATGTAAATCATTAAATCAGATTGCGACAATTTAAAACACAATTTTAATCCATCGAGTATAACTTTAAAATTTGAATCTCTCCAAATCAATTTTGAGTCGCGTCAAACAAGTTAGTAGGACGGTTTTGCTTTGTTTATTCTTATTATAAATAAACTTTTTTTTTCACTACATTTTAAATTATACATATGTATTATATTAAGATCTATTTGGATAAACTTTTTCTTTTTTTATAAAAATAAAATAAAATAATTTTTTAATAAATTATATATCAATTTATGCATATGTTAAAAAATAAAAAATAAAAAATAAAAAATAAAAAAAAAATTATATAAATTAACCTATGATAAGCTAATTTTAAAAGTTATCGGAGCAGGTGTTATGCAATGCAATAAGAGGATAACTTTTTTATTATAATTAATCCAAAACAACTAAACACTTATTTAAGACGATGGGTGACATTATAAAACAACTAACAAGGAAATGTTGTCCAAGATGGGGCAAACGAATGCAGCAAAATATAAGGTTAGCCGGAATATAAATGTTTATAAATAAAAAAAACTAAAAAGAGAAAGGATGTATTAGATTTAATCACTTTATAGTAGAGTTCGTATTTAACTTAACAATAGGTACGTGACATGAGATGATACTTCACAATTTTTCATAGTGTAAAATATATTTTTTTAAAACTTTTTTCCTAAAAAAATGGTTCAGTACTTTAAGATATGTTTAAAAGAAATTATTTATAATAATTTATCTCAATACATAAGTATTTGATAAGTAATCGGGAAAGTTTATGTCCACAATTTTATTTATTTATTTTTACTTATTTCAATAATTTTTTCAAGATAATTTACAACTTATATAAAAAAAAAGTGATTTAATTCTATTTGTTTTTCAATCACATGCATACTTATCTTTATATGCAAACTGCAAAGTTCCTGAAAAATACCAACCTAAATTTGTATTATGTAAGAGGAAAACAGAAAAACAAATTGATTTCAACATGTT